TTTATAGCAAGTTATCGTACTGTAATGATAATCCGGTATTCTGTGAGATGTTATCCGATACTCGGTGTAATGATTATCCGGTATTCTGTGAGATGTTATCCGATACTCGGTGTAATGATTATCCGGTATTCTTTGAGATGTTATCCTTTACTCTGTGCAATGATTATCTGGTATTCTGTGAGATGTTATCCAATACTCAGTGTAATGATTATCCAGTATTCTGTGAGATGTTATCCGATACTCAGTGTAATGATTATCCGGTATTCTGTGAGATGTTATCCGATACTCAGTGCAATGATTATCCGGTATTCTGTGCGATGTTATCCGATACTCAGTGTAATGATTATCCGGTATTCTGTGCGATGTTATCCAATACTCAGTGTAATGATTATCCGGTATTCTGTGAGATGTTATCCGATACTCAGTGCAATGATTATCCGGTATTCTGTGCGATGTTATCCGATACTCAGTGTAATGATTATCCGGTATTCTGTGAGATGTTATCCGATACTCAGTGTAATGATTATCCGGTATTCTGTGCGATGTTATCCAATACTCAGTGTAATGATTATCCGGTATTCTGTGCGATGTTATCCTTTACTCGGTGTAATGATTATCCAGTATTCTGTGAGATGTTATCCGATACTCAGTGTAATGATTATACGGTATTCTGTGCGATGTTATCCAATACTCAGTGCAATGATTATCTGGTATTCTGTGAGATGTTATCTGATACTCAGTGTAATGATTATCCGGTATTCTGTGAGGTGTTATCCTAAACTCGGTGTAATGATTATCCGGTATTCTGTGAGATGTTATCCGATACTCGGTGTAATGATTATCGGGTATTCTGTGAGATGTAATCCGATACTCGGTGTAATGATAATCCGGTATTCTGTGAGATGTTATCCGATACTCGGTGTAATGATAATCCGGTATTCTGTGAGATGTTATCCGATACTCCGTGTAATGATTATCCGGTATTCTGTGAGATGTTATCCTGTACTCTGTGTAATGATTTCCGGTATATTTGCAAAAATATAATAAGATGATTAATATGTATTCTATAAATGTTATAATTATTAAATATTTTATTATGTAAATATTATATATTTAAGATGGTCGATGATTATTTCGGCAATGCCTAGCGCTAGCAATGTAACGTATCCCCTGCTTGAAATCACTCGCACAGATATGTGGGATCTTTGCTGTGTCAGGTTGCTAAATGTGTAAACAAACGTACAATTTTACTAAACCAGAGCAGAGCAGGAATCTCCAATTAGTCCAGAATTAAATAGGAAACATTATTTACGTTAATGAGGCTGTTCTAATTATCCTTCTCCCCAGAAATCAAAATGGAGAATTGTTATTTTATTACACAAAGTTTGCTTAATTGGGGATTTCCATTTATACAAATAAAATTGAGTAAAAGCGATTCCCAGATAGAATATTCCGAATTCGTCTGGGAGCTCGAACTCCAGGATGAAAGAATGGGACATAAAGCCTGATAATTCCCAATTAATGAGCTCAGTGCGAAGATTGAGGCCTAGCGATCGAGAAAACCAGACTTGGTGTAAATGTAGGGACTCCAGTTTAGCAGACACGAGAAGACTGGCCTGGAACTATGATTCTTTCATTCATGTCTAGTTTTTGGGATTTACGACAATTAACCATTGGAGCTTTATTCAGATTGCAATGGTTCATTCAGGTGCATTTTAGCCTTAAAATATGAAATGCAAAGTAAACAAATGAGTGGTTATAAAAGTGGCATACGCAGTAATCTCTGGGTAAATACAAGCCGTGCGTTAACTCGTCATATAAGACATCCTACAAGTATAACACTAAATGGCCCCAGGATAATATGGCCCCGCAGGGATCTAACCGGATTGGAAAATTCGCTACACCAGGAATTGTGGGCAATATACCAGGGAATATTTTGGCCAAAATCAGGAACAAATCTAGCTGTACTGTCTGAAAGTGGCAGTTTGCTGCTAATTCTCCAGAATTCAAGTTTAGTACATAGTTGTGTTTAAGTCTGTTGAGTGAAGGCTCCCCTCCTTCCTCATGGCACAGTTAACCCTATTGGTTGCCCATTTAGGAGCAGGCCTTTCTGGCTGTGTGGGGATGTGGCTGAGCCCCTGCTGCCCCCAGAGCAAAGGAGGGTGGGCTGATGGGCAGGGAGGGGTGGGAGGAGGTCATGAGTTCAGGAGAGGCCTCTTGGCAGCCAACCAGCCCCAGCACTTCTAGTCTCACCCTCCAGCATGAAGAAGCTAAGGAAGACACCAGCAAGACCTGCTTCCAGGCCCAGGGGCCCCAAACTGGCACACAGAGGCCCCAGACCAACACAGGTGCAGTATCAGCATCCTCACTCCTACACTGCCCAGCCATACAGCATCCTCATCCCTATATGCAGCATCCTCACTCCTACAATGCCCAGCCATGCAGCATCCTCACCCCTACACTGCCCAGCCATGCAGCATCCTCACCCCTACACTGCCCAGCCATGCAGCATCCTCACTCCTACACTGCCCAGCCATGCAGCATCCTCACCCCTACACTGCCCAGCCATGCAGCATCCTCACTCCTACACTGCCCAGCCATGCAGCATCCTCACTCCTATAATGCCCAGCCATGCAGCATCCTCCTTCTACACTGCCCAGCCATGCAACATCCTCACTCCAATCAGCCATCCTACTCCTACAATGCCCAGCCATGCAGCATCCTCACCCCTACACTGCCCAGCCATGCAGCATCCTCACTCCTACAATGCCCAGCCATGCAGCATCCTCACCCCTACACTGCCCAGCCATGCAGCATCCTCACTCCTACACTGCCCAGCCATGCAGCATCCTCATTCCTATAATGTCCAGCCATGCAGCATCCTCACTCCTACACTGCCCAGCCATGCAGCATCCTCACACTGCCCAGCCATGCAGCATCCTCACCCCTATTCTGCCCAGCCATGCAGCTTCGTCACTCCTACACTGCCCAGCCATGCAGCATCCTCACTCCTATAATGCCCAGCCATGCAGCATCCTCACTTCTACACTGCCCAGCCATGCAGCATCCTCACTCCTACAATGCCCAGCCATGCAGCATCCTCACTCCTACAATGCCCAGCCATGCAGCATCCTCACTCCTACACTGCCCAGCCATGCATCATCCTCACACTGCCCAGCCATGCAGCATCCTCACCCCTATTCTGCCCAGCCATGCAGCATCGTCACTCCTACACTGCCCAGCCATGCAGCATCCTCACTCCTATAATGCCCAGCCATGCAGCATCCTCACTTCTACACTGCCCAGCCATGCAGCATCCTCACTCTTACAATGCCAAGCCATGCAGCATACTCACTCCTACAATGCCCAGCCATGCAGCATCCTCACTCCTACAATGCCCAGCCATGCAGCATCCTCACCCCTACACTGCCCAGCCATGCAGCATCCTCACTCCTACACTGCCCAGCCATGCAGCATCCTCATTCCTATAATGTCCAGCCATGCAGCATCCTCACTCCTACACTGCCCAGCCATGCAGCATCCTCACCCCCTATACTGCCCAGCTATGCAGCATCCTCACTCCTACACTGCCCAGCCATGCAGCATCCACTCACACTGCCCAGCCATGCAGCATCCTCATTCCTATAATGTCCAGCCATGCAGCATCCTCACTCCTACACTGCCCAGCCATGCAGCATCCTCCACTCCTACACTGCCCAGCCATGCACATCCTCACCCCTATATCCAGCCGCAGCTACACTGCCCAGCCACAGCATCACCTCAGCCATGCAGCATCTCACCCTATTCTGCCCAGCCATGCAGCATCGTCACTCCTACACTGCCCAGCCATGCAGCATCCTCCACCCTTATAATGCCCAGCCATGCAGCATCCTCACTTCTACACTGCCCAGCCATGCAGCATCCTCACTCTTACAATGCCCAGCCATGCAGCATACTCACTCCTACAATGCCCAGCCATGCAGCATCCTCACCCCTACACTGCCCAGCCATGCAGCATACTCACTCCTACACTGCCCAGCCATGCAGCATCCTCATTCCTATAATGTCCAGCCATGCAGCATCCTCACTCCTACACTGCCCAGCCATGCAGCATCCTCACGCCTATACTGCCCAGCCATGCAGCATCCAATATACGTTACCAATATCTGCTTTGTCCAATCTGTATGGGAGAAACCCGCCTCCAGCGCTATCAGTCAATCATCGCCAATCAGATTAAAGGGACACTCTAGGCACCCAGACCACTATAGCTCAATGAAGTGGTCTGTGTGCCAGGTCCAGCTAAGGTTAACACTGCATCAGAAACTGCTATGCTTACATTAGGGTTAATCCGTCTCACTGACAGCCGCTAGAGGAGCTTCCGTGATTCTCAATGTGATTTTCACAGTGAGAAGATGCTGGACGTCCATAGGAAAGCATTGAGAATGCTTTACTACGGACTGACTGAATGCCCACGCGATGACGTCGGAAGGAGGAGGAGAGTCCCTGGCGCTGGAGAACGGTAAGGGTTTAACCCCTTCCTACCCCTAGAGCCCCACAGGAGTGGGACACTGAGGGTGGGGGGGACCCACAGACCCTATAGTGCCAGGAAAACAAATTTGTTTTCCTGGCTCTATAGTGGTCCTTTAATTAAGATTTTCTTATCCCCTGCTATGTTAATAGCTTACTAGACCCTGCAAGAGGTTTAAAGTTCAATTTAGAGATTGAGATACAATTATTTAAGGTAAATTACACCTGTTTGAAAGTGAAACCAGTTTTTTTTTCATGCAGGCTCTGTCAATCATAGCCAGGGGAGGTGTGGCTAGGGCTGCATAAACAGAAACAAAGTGATTTAACTCCTAAATGACAGTGAATTGAGCAGTGAAATTGCAGGGGAATGATCTATACACTAAAACTACTTTATTTAGCTAAAGTAATTTAGGTGACTATAGTGTTCCTTTAATTAAAATTATTATTGAAGAAACATGCATTTGGTATAATCATGTTGGCTGACTGGAAGCAGACCAGGGAGGAGCCAGAGAGCCCAGGGTGATGTCAAAAGAGAGTGGTTATGGGGATTAGAGTGCCACCTTGTCAATAACCACTCTAAGCACCATAACCACTCTCTTTTGACATCACCCTGGGCTCTCTGGCTCCTCCCTGGTCTGCTTCCAGTCAGCCAACATGATTATACCAAAGGGCACTCTTAGTACCATAACCACTGTAGCACATTGTTAAAGGTCACTCTTAGTACCATACCCACAACCATTCATTGTAAAGGAGCTCTCTAAGTACCATAACCACTGCAGCCCATAGTAAAAAGCACTCCTAGTACCATAACCACTAACATTCATTGTAAAGGAGCTCTATGTACCATAACCACTGCAGCCCATAGTAAAAAGCACTCCTAGTACCATAACCACTAACATTCATTGTAAAGGAGCTCTATGTACCATAACCACTGCAGCCCATTGTAAAAAGCACTCCTAGTACCATAACCACTAACATTCATTGTAAAGGAGCTCTATGTACCATAACCACTGCAGCCCATTGTAAAAAGCACTCCTAGTACCATAACCACTACCATTCATTGTAAAGGAGCTCTATGTACCATAACCACTGCAGCCCATAGTAAAAAGCACTCCTAGTACCATAACCACTAACATTCATTGTAAAGGAGCTCTATGTACCATAACCACTGCAGCCCATAGTAAAAAGCACTCCTAGTACCATAACCACTACCATTCATTGTAAAGGAGCTGTATGTACCATAACCACTACCATTCATTGTAAAGGAGCTCTCTGTGTACCATAACCACTGCAGCCCATTGTAAAAAGCACTCCTAGTACCATAACCACTACCATTCATTGTAAAGGAGCTCTATGTACCATACCCACAACCATTCATTGTAAAGGAGCTCTATGTACCATAACCACTACCATTCATTGTAAAGGAGCTCTAAGTACCATAACCACTGTAGCACATTGTTAAAGGTCACTCTTAGTACCATACCCACAACCATTCATTGTAAAGGAGCTCTCTAAGTACCATAACCACTGCAGCCCATAGTAAAAAGCACTCCTAGTACCATAACCACTAACATTCATTGTAAAGGAGCTCTATGTACCATAACCACTGCAGCCCATAGTAAAAAGCATTCCTAGTACCATAACCACTAACATTCATTGTAAAGGAGCTCTATGTACCATAACCACTGCAGCCCATTGTAAAAAGCACTCCTAGTACCATAACCACTGCCATTCATTGTAAAGGAGCTCTATGTACCATAACCACTGCAGCCCATTGTAAAAAGCACTCCTAGTACCATAACCACTACCATTCATTGTAAAGGAGCTCTATGTACCATAACCACTGCAGCCCATAGTAAAAAGCACTCCTAGTACCATAACCACTAACATTCATTGTAAAGGAGCTCTATGTACCATAACCACTGCAGCCCATAGTAAAAAGCACTCCTAGTACCATAACCACTACCATTCATTGTAAAGGAGCTGTATGTACCATAACCACTACCATTCATTGTAAAGGAGCTCTCTGTGTACCATAACCACTGCAGCCCATTGTAAAAAGCACTCCTAGTACCATAACCACTACCATTCATTGTAAAGGAGCTCTATGTACCATACCCACAACCATTCATTGTAAAGGAGCTCTATGTACCATAACCACTACCATTCATTGTAAAGGAGCTCTAAGTACCATAACCACTGTAGCACATTGTTAAAGGTCACTCTTAGTACCATACCCACAACCATTCATTGTAAAGGAGCTCTCTAAGTACCATAACCACTGCAGCCCATAGTAAAAAGCACTCCTAGTACCATAACCACTAACATTCATTGTAAAGGAGCTCTATGTACCATAACCACTGCAGCCCATTGTAAAAAGCACTCCTAGTACCATAACCACTACCATTCATTGTAAAGGAGCTGTATGTACCATAACCACTACCATTCATTGTAAAGGAGCTCTCTGTGTACCATAACCACTACCATTAAAGGAGCTCTCTGTGTACCATAACCACTACCAAGTAAAGGAGCTCTATGTACCATAACCACTGCAGCCCATAGTAAAAAGCACTCCTAGTACCATAACCACTAACATTCATTGTAAAGGAGCTCTATGTACCATAACCACTGCAGCCCATTGTAAAAAGCACTCCTAGTACCATAACCACTACCATTCATTGTAAAGGAGCTGTATGTACCATAACCACTACCATTCATTGTAAAGGAGCTCTCTGTGTACCATAACCACTGCAGCCCATTGTAAAAAGCACTCCTAGTACCATAACCACTGCCATTCATTGTAAAGGAGCTGTATGTACCATACCCACAACCATTCATTGTAAAGGAGCTCTAAGTACCATAACCACTGTAGCACATTGTTAAAGGTCACTCTTAGTACCATACCCACAACCATTCATTGTAAAGGAGCTCTATGTACCATAACCACTGCAGCCCATTGTAAAAAGCACTCCTAGTACCATAACCACTACCATTCATTGTAAAGGAGCTGTATGTACCATAACCACTACCATTCATTGTAAAGGAGCTCTCTGTGTACCATAACCACTGCAGCCCATTGTAAAGGAGCTCTCTAAATCAGGGCTTGACAGATTTGCTTAATCTAGAAGCCAGCTTTAAAAAGTTTATTTTATTTTTTTTTATACTTTATTTTTAAAAACAAAAATGCAATTCTTAAAGTAGTCACCAGGACCACTATAGTTTGATGTAGTTGTTCTGGTGCCTATAGCCTCTAGTGGCCCCTAAAATGTCTCCTATCATTCAGTGTCTCCACGCCTTGCATGCTGAACGTTCCCCAGAGCAATGCATTGACAATGTATCTCTCTGAGAAGGTGCTGATTGGCGCAGTGTTTTGCAGCGTATGCACAAGAGCTTCCCTTTGCTTTCCCATAATAATATTGGGACGCTATTGTGCATATGCTCCAAAGCTTGATTATTGATTATCTCAGCACAGGGAAATCGGCATGGCATTGAAAAAAGGTGAATAAAAACACCAATACTAATGCGGGATGGGGGAGTGAAGGCTGCTCATACTGTAGGTAGGCAGCGAGGGAGCTGTGATCTCCTTGCTCTGCCCCATCGTCTCTTGGATGATGCCGGGGCCGCAGTGATGTCATACTCCGGCCCCGGCATCATTAAATGGCGCACGAGGAAGCAAAACAAGGAGATGGCAGCTCCCTCCCCGCCTGCCTACAGTACATGCAGCCGTACCATAAACATTCCAACTTATTATAAAGGGGCACTCTAAGCACCATAGCCACTGTAGCTCATTGAAAAGGAGAACCATAAATCACTACAGTTCATTATGACGAGAATACGGTGGGCCAGGGGGCTCCATGCGTTAAGCCTAACACTGTGAATTTACCCAGCTACATTGCTAAAGCTGTAAAAGCATGCAATGTGTCTAACCGCCATGGAGGAGATAGGGAGCAGACACTCTGTACCGGAGCTGTAATGGCTGAAAGTGCAGGCTACATTCTAACCGCCATGGAGGAGATAGGGAGCAGGCACACTCTGTACCAGAGCTGTTAAGGCTCAAAGTGCAGGCTGCATTCTAACCGCCATGCAGGAGATAGGGAGCCGACACTCTGTACCGGAGCTGTAATGGCTCAAAGTGCAGGCTTCATTCTAACCGCCATGGAGGAGATAGGGAGCAGACACTCTGTACCGGAGCTGTAATGGCTGAAAGTGCAGGCTACATTCTAACCGCCATGGAGGAGATAGGGAGCAGGCACACTCTGTACCAGAGCTGTTAAGGCTCAAAGTGCAGGCTGCATTCTAACCGCCATGCAGGAGATAGGGAGCCGACACTCTGTACCGGAGCTGTAATGGCTCAAAGTGCAGGCTTCATTCTAACCGCCATGCTTCATTCTAACCGCCATGCAGGAGATAGGGAGCAGACACTCTGTACCGGAGCTGTAATGGCTGAAAGTGCAGGCTACATTCTAACCGCCATGGAGGAGATAGGGAGCAGACACTCTATACCGGAGCTGTAATGGCTGAAAGTGCAGGCTACATTCTAACCGCCATGGAGGAGATAGGGAGCAGACACTCTATACCAGAGCTGTAATGGCTGAAAGTGCAGGCTACATTCTAACCGCCATGCAGGAGATAAGGAGCAGGCACACTCTGTACCAGAGCTGTAATGGCTCAAAGTGCAGGCTTCATTCTAACCGCCATGGAGGAGATAGGGAGCAGACACACTCTGTAACGAAGCTGTAATGGCTCAAAGTGCAGGCTGCATTCTAATCGCCATGCAGGAGATAGGGAGCAGACACACTCTGTACCGGAGCTGTAATTGCTCAAAGTACAGACTGCATTCTAACCGCCATGGAGGAGATAGGGAGCAGACACACTCTGTACCAGAACTATAATGGCTCAAAGTGCAGGCTGCATTCTAACCGCCATGGAGGAGATAGGGAGCAGACACTCTGTACCGGAGCTGTAATGGCTGAAAGTGCAGGCTACATTCTAACCGCCATGGAGGAGATAGGGAGCAGGCACACTCTGTACCAGAGCTGTTAAGGCTCAAAGTGCAGGCTGCATTCTAACCGCCATGCAGGAGATAGGGAGCAGACACTCTGTACCGGAGCTGTAATGGCTCAAAGTGCAGGCTTCATTCTAACCGCCATGCAGGAGATAGGGAGCTGACACTCTGTACCGGAGCTGTAATGGCGGAAAGTGCAGGCTGCATTCTAACCGCCATGGAGGAGATAGGGAGCAGACACTCTATACCGGAGCTGTAATGGCTGAAAGTGCAGGTTACATTCTAACCGCCATGGAGGAGATAGGGAGCAGACACACTCTGTAACGAAGCTGTAATGGCTCAAAGTGCAGGCTGCATTCTAACCGCCATGCAGGAGATAGGGAGCAGACACACTCTGTACCGGAGCTGTAATTGCTCAAAGTACAGACTGCATTCTAACCGCCATGGAGGAGATAGGGAGCAGACACACTCTGTACCAGAACTATAATGGCTCAAAGTGCAGGCTGCATTCTAACCGCCATGGAGGAGATAGGGAGCAGACACTCTGTACCGGAGCTGTAATGGCTGAAAGTGCAGGCTTCATTCTAACCGCCATGGAGGAGATAGGGAGCAGACACACTCTGTAACGGAGCTGTAATGGCTCAAACTG